CTGATATTTTCAGCCAAACTTAAGCCTAAACAAGATAACTGTATTATTAAACTTTGGCATAAATTTAAAATATTACATCTTGAAATGAGGTCAGCAAAAAAATGTAATTAGAAATATTCTACTCAGGCCAAGCGCATTGGCTCACGCCTGTAATCCCAGCACTTTGGAAGGCCAAGGCAGGCAGATCACAAGGTCAAGAGACCGAGACCATCCTGGCCAACATGGTGAAACCCCGTCTCTACTAAAAATACAATAATTAGCTGGGTGTGCTGGCACGTGCCTATAGCCCCAGCTACTCAAGAGGCTGAGGTAGGAGAATCATTTGAACCTGGGAGGTGGAGGTTGCAGTGAGCCGAGATCACGCCACTGCACTCCAGCCTGGGCGACAGAGCAAGACTCCATCTCAAAAAAGAACGAAAGAAAGAAAGAAAGAAAGGAAGAAAGGAAGAAAGGAAGAAAGGAAGGAAGGAAGGAAGGAAGGAAGGAAGGAAGGAAGGAAGGAAGGAAGGAAGGAAGGAAGGAAGGAAGGAAGGAAGGAAGGAAGGAAGGAAGAAAAAATATTCTACTCAATAACCAAAGATCATACTCCAAAGACAGGTTCTTTAAAAACAAATAACAATAATCTAAAGCCTTTTATTATCTGTAATATAAACAATGTACTTTTTAAGATTTCAAGATTTTTCATATTTACTTCTCTTGAAGACCTAGGCATAAGAGATAGATTTTCCATATGCCTGATAAAAACTGAAACATCTGAAGGATCATATATATATTTTTTATTTTGGTAGAAGCCTCAGCATTCTGGAATATATTTAAGGCTAGATCAAGGCCAAGAAGTATATACCAACAGTAGTGTTTCACTTTTGAGTCTCATCCAGGAACTTAACTGTGCACCAGTGAGTGGCACTCAAATAAAGAAAGGTGGAACTATCAATGCCATTATGAAACACGATCATAAAAGGTGTTTCCCAGTAGTATGCATCTTGGTAACTCTGATGCAAAATCTTTCACTATCTTAGTGCTACGGGACAGGGCTGCAAATTTAGAGTAATTCCTTAGCAAAAAAATAAAAAGGGCACTGAAGTTGGCTGGCTATATATTAGGTATTAGAGATGAAATAGTAGATGACAAAATTTGCATAGACCTGATTTGCAGGACTGCCTATGCCATGAAAGAAAGAAAGAAGGAAATATTCAGAGCGAAAGAAGGAAATAATCATGAAGTGCCTATACTCTGGCAATTTCAATTTTTAAAAAGTCTCATTAAATATCTTTTTAACCTTGGATAAGTTGCTTTATCTCTTCCTATACTCTGGCAATTTCAGTTTTTAAAAAGTCTCATTAAATATCTTTTTAACCTTGGATAAGTTTCTTGACCTCTTTGTGACTCAATAGTCTTACTTATAAAACGAAAGGGTTACAGTATATCATTTATTCCTATATAGATATAGATATAGATATAAATATAGATATAGATACATAGATAATTCCAAATCATTTATCCACAGATATCCACATGGCTCACTTCCTCGCCTGTTTCAAGTATCTGGTCAAATGTGAACTTTCAGTGAGCCCTACCCTCACAACCATAGCTAATTATCATCCCATGGTTCAATAAGGCTCTGTACATTTATTTTCCTTTATTCTCTTTGTGCTTCATTTTGGCATGTTTCCATCACTATGTCTTCAAGTTAATTAATCTCTTTTTCTTGCAATATCTACTACTCTACATCTAATTCCACTAAATTTTTATTTCAGATATTTTGTTTTTCATCTCTAGAATTGAGTTTGGTTCTTTTATATATTTTCCATTTCTCTCCTCAATGTATGCAACTTCTTGTAAATATCTGAACATAGTTATGATACCTGTTTTAACATATAGGTATTTAATATACCTGCTAATTCTATCATCTGTGTCATTTCTCAGCCTATTTCTATTGGCTAGTTTCTCTCCTGTTGGTAGTTCTCACTCCTTTGCACCTCTAGTAATTTTTTTATTGAATATTTGGCACTGTTATATTTAAGTTGTATGTCTCCATCTTATTGTATTCCTTTTAATGATGTTGGGCTACAACAGTATTATATTCCTTTTAATAGTAACAGTTACTTGCTATTTTGTTTCCTTCAGAGGCTGATTTACAAGTTTGTTTAAGGTGAGTCTAGGGTAGTCTTTATAAATAGTTTAGCCCCACAGCTAAGGCCTAGCCCTTCTGGTCTCTACTGAATGTCCTAAATAACCAATGAGAATGGTATGCGATGGACAGTAGGAACTTCAATGCCTTCTGCCCTGTGTAAGGGTGGGAATCATTAAGATCACAGCTCCAAGGTTATTCTTTGCCAAACCCTGTGAGGTCTCATTGCCCCAGGGGCTCTTTTTCTGCATAACTTTCTCCATCTCTGGAATTTTATTCTATAATTTCTAGTCATTTCTGCCTCCCTAAACTTCAGTTCCTGTCTCTACAACTCAGAAAGACTGCTGAGCTCAGTTTAAGATGTCCTATTCTACTCTGTATTCTGAAACGTGCCTTGAGGCAGAAAGCTAGGGAAATCCTAGGGCTCACCTTTGTTTCCTTTCTATGAGGAATCACACTCCTGCACTGCCTGTTATCCAATGTCCAGAAACTGGGGAATTTTCCCCATATATTTTATCCAGTTTGTTAGTTGTTTACAGCAGGAATATAAATCTAAACCCTGTTAGTCTATCATGGCCAGAAGCTAAAGTTCTATACTTTGAATTTATAGCATTATCTACCAAATCTACAACATTATCACACGTCTTCATTTATTATTATCTTAGCAATAGTCAAGGTGTCTTAAATTTAAAAGGCTTCTATTATTTTAACTCTGTACTTATTACGTTGACATGAGAAGTAATACATAAACATGTAAGATAAAATGGGTTATATCTTTTAAGTATCATTTATGGAGTATTCTGCTTTTTAAGTTTTCATCTCCATTCCAGAAATTTTCATGAATAATTCCAAATTAAGGTTTATAACATTTCAAAACCTAGGGTAAACAAATGTCATAGCTTTTAGGGGTTTCGTTGTTTTGAAGAATATACAGATTCTCTGGAAGATTATTTAGAATTTTGTGAAAATCGATTATCTTCATGTGGAGCAGCAAGTCTTTATTCTGGCTTAGTCCACCCTATGTGACTATATCATTGAAATAGTGGCATTCTGTTGTTAACACATCCCCAGCCCTAAACACATGTCCCCCTGCAGCTAGCCACTTAACATTGGCTGAGTTTGGAAGAGGAAAAGGTCTGCTTCTAACTGAATAATTAAAAAGCAAAATCAAACCCAGTGCAGTATCAGCAGGTCTTGTTATTCATGTGTCAAAATCACCATATAACTTGTTGGGGATGAACTTAGAATCAAAATTGGACCATAGGTTGTGATGATATAAATTTAAAAAATAATTTTAATAAGAACTCAGAAATAAAATTAACATTTCTCCACTGTAATATGTAGTTAAAAAATAAATTGTGTATTTTACAACAATGTGATTATACCTAATGCTACTGATTTATACCTAATGCTACTGAAAATGGCTTAGTTAAAAAACAAACAAAAACCAACAACCAAAAAAGGTAGGCAGATGTGCAAAAGACTATGAATACCTTAACAAACTCGTTACAATTTATGACGCAATATAAATAATAATTAAAACAGTGATTGATAACTACATTTAGATGTATGTACATACTCTAAGAAATCATAAAATATATTTTTAATCTAAAAAAGATTATATCCTTTAATTAAAAATAAAGTGTTAAAACATAATTCTAAGTAAAGAAAATGTTTAGCAAAGAGTATTATCAAGAAAAGAGAGAGTACCACTGCCAAGTTCACCAGAGAATTAAAAATAGTGGGCACCCAAGGGGGAAGAAATAGAATTCATAAACAATAAATGTTATATTCAACTCAAGGCCTTTTACCTTTGGTGACTGCTCACAGTCACCAAACAGGGCAATCACAAGCATTAGCTGGATGCTTATTAATTTTTATGCAAGCTTGAGTGAGAATATACATTTGGTGAAATAATAATGTCCTTATCTATAAGAAAAATACCTATAGGATATCTGATGGTTCTAAAGATGGGGGAACACCAAAGACATAAAATGCAATTATCCTTAATTCTAAAGAAAAGAACCATAGTTCATATTAATAATTTAAAATAAAAAACAATGTGTTATGTTTTCATATTTTATAAATAATGATGAGAAATTACGTTTTTAGCTTTTGTTATTTATTTTCCCTCATTACAAATTAATTTCTTATAAAAACATAAAGTATAATAAAGAAGGCAAAATAATTATCAGATCAACTGGTATCATTTATGAATTGATATGTGATTGGTATGAGTTTACATATAAACTTTTCCACGCATATACAGATGCATTTCAAAATCTGTGATCACATACTTTATATTTGCATAGAAGATCTAGCAGAGAATATGAGAGAAAGGGGAAGAAAGATGATTAAGGTGTACTGTGGTTTTCAAGAATTCACTTGAAGGAACATACTATTGAGAGACAATTCTCCAATTCTCCACTACCTCCAAGTAGAGGTAGTGATTGTCTTTGTTCCCTACTGTGTTTTAAAGGATATTTGTATAGCGAATAGCCTCAGAAGACAGAAATATGATCCTGCTTCTGAGCAAAGGGCAAGTGTGCTTACACCCTCGCAAAGGAGACACAGCGCCTCCCTCTGGAGGAAAGGGCAGGCACGCTTTCTATCCATTATAAAAGGTTCAGGTTCCCTAAATTCAGAATTCCTGGCCCCTTTCATGTCACCTTATGGAAACTGGGCTCAGGGCACTAACACAAGAAAATGCTAATAGTGTGATTATTGCTAACGCTGTGGATAATAAAGTTCTTTGTCTCCAGCTGAGGAGTCTCATGTCTTTGGCCAGCATCCATGAAACTGTGGATGCTAACTTGCTAGCTTAGAAGTGGAGTAAAATCATAGTCCCTTTACAGTACTTGACACATACCTGTTACCGTTTTTGTTTTTATAGGGCTGCTGGCATATTCAGAGGCCTGATATGATTGCTGCTTTGCCAAGGGTGCACTTCCAATAGACACCTCATCCTCTTTCCTTCTACAAACTGGCATAACAAGAGGAATAGCTACCACAGGCTGCTGGAAAGAGCCAAAATGAAAAACTTTTTAGTTTTTAGTTTTTAACTATTTCTTAAGCAGTAAAGGTTAAACATGGCAATACTGAGGACAGTACTTCACAAGTTGGGGCTGAGACTTCATTATTTTAAATCAATCAATCTCTCCCTCCTTCATCTGTCCCTGCACCCCGACTTTTCTCTCTCTTTCTCACACACACACACACACACACACACACACACACACACAGAGCAATGCTTATCCACTTAAATTTTAAATTACAATTCTGAGTGAAAACCAAAGAGCCTGTAAGTACCCAGAAAACTTAAGTTTTAGTAAGAAGTATTAAAATAATATGGAAAGAGCAAGATAAAATTTAAATTCACTTTGAAAATTATGTTCTCAAAAAAATGGAAAAGTAACCTTATAAAGTTATCCTTATAAAATGGCATTTTTAGAAACATACTTTTACAAACTGATTGTGTACATGTTAATATGGATACTCCAACTTTTTTGAAGAATACTGAAAATCTCTATATTTTGTCTGACAAAAGATATCCATAGCATATTCAGAAAGCACAGAAAAATATCTACTTAGAGAAAGCTGGAAAATATTATGATCCTCTATTGAATGCATGCAGGCTGAGCTGGACAGTAAAGCAGCTGTTTCATCTTTATTCACTGAAATAAAGTCTGATGTTACTGCTGATGATGCCCAATACAATTTTGTCATATTATTGGCAAAAAAAAAGGCACTTTTAAGTTTGCCATAGGATCAAAGATCAATGTTGAAGTGGGTGGAAAACAATCATCAAATGTTGGGTTTTAGCCACAGTTTGAGAAGGAAATTGTAGCTTGGGAAACAACAGATGATAACTGTAACACAGTTGTATCAGATGGTAAATCTGGCGGTGGTTGGTCAGGCTGCAGTGTAGTCTAAGGTTATCTTCAATACTACAACCAAAGTTTTATAGATCCAACCTTAAGCCTCACCCAACTTAAAATACTCAATATAATTTACATTATGAAAAAGTATTTCAATGAAAACTTGTTTATTATATAACTACGTAATAAAATCAATCATGTTCTGAAACATGGAAAAGGGCATATTATTTTACAAGTTGCTAGTCACACTGAGTAAAGAAAAAAGGAAAAGAAATTAGAGGCCAGGCGCAGTGGCTCACGCCTATAATCCCAGCACTTGGGAGGCCAAGGCAGGCGGATCACGAGGTCAGGAGATCGAGATCATCCTGGTCAACACGGTGAAATCCCATGTCTACTGAAAATACAAAAAATTAGCCGGGCATGGTGGCAGGCGCCTGTAGTACCAGCTACTCGGGAGGCTGAGGCAGGACAATGGTGTGAACCCGGGAGGCAGAGCTTGCAGTGAGCCGAGATCACGCCACTGCACTACAGCCTGGGCGACAAGAGTGAGACTCCATCTCAAAAAAAAAAAAAAAAAAAAAAAAAATCGAAAATGAGAAAAGGAAAAGATTAAATAAATTATCGGAAGCATCATAACATAGAGTACCTGCTTTTATATTTGGTATTTAGTCAAACTGATAATACACAAATCTAAATTGGAAAACATTTTTAAGATCTAGATGAGAAATGCTCCACATATTGTTAAGTCTTGATGCATTTAAATTTCCTCATCTAAAAAATAAGAGGGGCTGGAGATGGTTACTGGAAAACCTCTTTATACTCTAATATTTAGTGACTCCATAATCCCTTGAATTTCTGCCCATTTATATTTGGAATACAATCCAAACTCTAAAAAGTTATAACCAAGTTCAGGATTAAAATTAATATACAGCTGGCCCTTGAATACATAAGTTTGAACCACATAAGTTCACTTAGTTCACTTACATGTGGATTTTTTTCCACCTCTGCCACTTCTGAGACAAGACGAACCCATCCTCTTCCTCCTCCTCAGCCTACTATTCAACATGAAGACCTTCAGGAATGATCTACTTTCGTCCTATATAGTATTTTGTCTTCCTTATGGTTTTCTTAATAACATTTTCTTTTCTCTAGTTTACTTTATTGTAAGAATACCACATATAATGCATATAATATACAAAATATGTGTTAATTAACTATTTATGTTATCGTTAAGGCCTCTGATCAACAGTAGGCTATTAGTTAAGTTTGGGGGAACTCAAAAGGTATACATGAGTTTTTGACCAACCAGGGAGTTGGTGTCCCTAGCCCTCGTGTTGTTTGTTTCTAGGGTCAACCATAGAATGAGTAACTAGAGGAAATTTATGTGCTATACAGTGTAAATTCAAGCACAATAGCCAAAAGATGCAACTAATAAAAGCACAAAGTTAAAAATCCATGTAAAATTTTATAGATCCAGTTCATGGTACTGGTAATACTAAACAACAAACAAAAAATACCTTTGGATAGCTAAAACTCTGGGTGTATTTTTTTTTTCTTTTTGAGACAGAGTCTCACTCTGTTGCCCAGGCTGGAGTGCAGTGGTGCAATCTTGGTTCACTGCAACCTCTGCCCTCCGGGTTCAAGCAATTCTCCTGCCTCAGCCTCCTGAGTAGCTGGGATTACAGGTGCCTGCCACCGTGCCCAGCTAATTTTTGTATTTTTATTAGGGATAGGGTTTCACCATCTTGGCCAGGCTGATCTTGAACTCCTGACCTCATGATCCACCCGCCTTGGCTTCTCAAAGTGCTGGGATTACAGGTGTGAGCCACTGTGCCCAGCCAACTCTGAGTGTATTTTTACCCAGGCAAGAATTAAAAGGCCAAACAAAACTACTTTCTAACACAAGAGTAAGGCTCTTGTATGCCCTGTACACAGCTGTATACAAAATACTTACATTTGTTGAATGACTGCTAATAAAGATGCTGCATGTCAGGCATTAAGTGATACCAAATAAGGAGTAAGACCAGTGATTTCCTCCACTATTCTAGAAATATGGCTACCTTGGTCAAAAACATTGAAATAAGCAGTATTTATTTTTAACAACCTCCTATTACCCTGCTTATATTCTTTTTCCTTCTGGTACTGTAGCTCTCCTCAAATTTCAGTTGCACTCTAGTCTCAGAGCTGTTCTATCTTTAACTCAAAACTATCCCATAACCCAAAATACCTAAAGCTTTTCATAGCTGCATCATATAAAAGGTAACCATCTTTCACTAATTATTAATTTAACAAATTAAAATAATACTAGAAGGTTACAAAGAATACAACATACCTATTATAACCAACAATTAATGGCTATTAACAGTTTATCATATTTGCTTTTTTAAAAAAAGTATTCTAGATAAAACTAAAATCCCCTTTGACTGCCAACCTATTGTCCTTTCCTCCCAGAGTCAACCATTATTATGATATTAGTACAAATCCTTCAACTTAATTTTTATACCTGTATTCACTTACAGACACACATACATATACACATTAAGGGCAGTTTTAGAAAAATATAGGTAAGTGCTCTCATATTGCGAAATGGCTTTTGCATCAAATATAATTTGAGATGTCCATACTAAGGTCTATTGTATAATTTTTAATAAATGTTATATCATGTGAATATTTCATACTTCATCAACCTTCTTACAAATTTTCATTTAAGTTTTCAAATTTTCACATTATTGTAAAGAATATGCAACAGCAGTCTTACACACTATTCCTTAGTTACATGAATTTCACTCTAAGAGCATACCTGCATCAAGAAGTACAAGTTTGGGGTTATAAGTTCACAAATTTTCAATTTTATTAGATACTGACAAATTTATCAAGTTTTCACTCACAACAACAGTAATCATTCTCTACATTTTCACCAATACTGTATATCGGCATTTTTTTTCACGTAACAGATTTTAAGAGTAAAGATGAGTGGTCATGACTTGATAATTATTGAACCTGGGTATGGAAACATATTGCTCTACTATGCAATTCTCTCAATTTTCCATGGTGGGGTGAGGTGGGGGGAACATTCAAGAGGAAAATAGTAGAATAAGGACATTTTTAAAGTATATTTTTAAGTACGCCAAACTGTAGTAAAATAATAATGCTATCAATTGCTGTTGAAAATGTAAACTGGGCTGGATATGGGGCTCATGCCTGTAATCTCAGCACGTTGGGAGGCTTAGGTGGGTAGACCACTTGAGCCTAGGAGTTTCAGACCAGCTGGGGCAATTTGGTGAGACACCACCTCTACAAAAATATATATATATTTTTTAATTAGCCAGGCATGGTGGTGTGTGTCTGTGGTCCCCACTACTCAGGAGGCTTAGAAAAGAGGATCACTTGAACCCACAAAGTCAAGGCTGCAGTGACCTGTGATCACAGCACTGCACTTCAGCCTGGGCAACAGAGCAAGACCCTGTGTGGAAAAAAAAAAAAGAAATAAAAAGGAAAAAGAAAATGCAAACTGTATACCAATTTTGGAAGCAATTTGGTGATATAACAAAAGTCTTAAAATATGTTTCTATAATGCAAAATACTTGCCTAGTGCTACTAATTACACTTGTAAAAATATATTCTAAGTGAATAAAGATGAATGCAAAGATTTAGCTATGGAGACATATACTCCAACATTATTTGTAACTCTGAATGAGTAGGATTATGGTATTTGTTAGTTTACCTTTTATTTTTATTATGTGTAGAGATGGGGGTCTCAACCTTTTGCCCAGGCTGGAGTATACTGGTGTGATTATTGTTCACTGCAGCCTCCACCTCCCAGGCACAAATAATCCTCCTGCTTTAGCCTCCAGTGTAGCTGGGACTACAGGCCTGCACCACCACGCAGACCTAATTTTTATTTTCTGTAAAAACAGAGTCTTGCTATGTTCCCCGGGCTGGTCTTGAACTCCTGGGCTCAAGCAATTCTCCCACCTTGCCTCCCAAAGTATTGGTATTGCAAGTAGTTTAGCTTCTAAATAGAGCATTGTTTCTGAATTAGAAAAATATACATATAATTATGTGCCACATAACAATGTTTCAGTCAACAATGGATTGCATACATGATGGTGGTTCCATAAGATTATAACACCATATTTTTACTATACCTTTTCTATGTTTAGACATACAAATACTTACCTTTGTGTTACAACTGCCTAAGGTATTCAGTACAGTAATACTCTGTATAGGTTTGTACCCTAGGAGCAATAGGCTATACCAGAGATGGGTTATAGCCCAAACGTCTAGCAGGCCATACCATCTAGGTTTGTGTAAGTATACTCTATGATGTTTGCACAACAACAAAATTGCCTAATGATGCATTTCTCAGAATGTATCCCCATCATTAAGGGGCATGTGATTGTATATTCATTTTAAAAGTTGTAATTTTTTAAAAAGTTAAAAATCAAAATATTTGAATATGCTTGGTATCAATTAAATGAATGTCTAATTTATTTAAGCTGCTAGAACACTCTACTTGACCTTCAGGGATATCTGTGGTACACTGGAAATAATTGTATTACTTAGAGAATAACCAATCAAGAATTTACAAAGAAAATTTTTCCAGACTGGTTACTGCCATTAGTCTAACTTCTGTAGCACTCATTCTCTATATTCTGCTAGAGTAAACTTTCTAAAATCCAGCTCTGTTAATACCAGTTTCCTATAGCTCCTCTTTACACTTCAAAATGAAGTCTCAAATACCTAGGACTACAAATTTTTTTTTCAGAAATTGATTTCCAATTTCTCCCAGTCTCTACAAGAACACTTCACTCCATTCTGGAACCACTGAAGTCTTTCTTGCCATGCTTTTGCATCTTCTTTGCCTTTGCTCAAACAGTTCAGTCTAAAACAACCTTCCCTGTCTGGCGCACTCCTAGATACTCAGCTTAGTTGTTAATTCCTCCTTTTCACACACTACCCTGCTTGTGAGAACTATTCCTCTTTTTTGTTTTCACATAATCCTGGACATACATATACATAGTAATTACTAAAAATGGCATTACTATATCCCTTAAGATTCTCAAATACACTACATACTCTCAGAGGGAGGGATATTCTCACCTATGACTTTTATTTCTGTGGCCATGGTGTATAGCATACTGCCTTACATTCTGTAACTACTCATTGAAGGGAAAAATGGGGACAGGTATGGCAGAAGTTTCAAATAAAATTAGGACAAAGTGAAGAAAAACCTTTAAAACGTGCTCCTTAGAGAGTATTTTTTGTTAAACTTTTTAATTCTTATATAATTATAAAATTGTGTATTCTTCTCCCATCAACTAGCTTGAAGTTACTTCAGAAAAAGGATACAAAGCTATTCCATATAGGATACTGCAAAATTATACTTAAGTTGATGGGAAATTATAATTCAATAAAGCACAAATTTGGCCTCAAAAATTCTTAGTTCTGTCATTTACTTACAGCTGTTTGACTATACATAAATGAATCTCAATAAACATCAGTTTCTTCATCTTTAAAATGAAAATAACAAAACTGTCAGATTTATGTTTAAGTATTCTAGAAACTATAATTGTCTACTTACTACTTTGTAATTCATACCTTTTTTTTTTTTTTTTTTTTTTTTTTTTTTTTGAGACGGAGTCTTGCTCTGTCACCCAGGCTGGAGTGCAGTGGCCGGATCTCAGCTCACTGCAAGCTCCGCCTCCCGGGTTTACGCCGTTCTCCTGCCTCAGCCTCCCGAGTAGCTGGGACTACAGGCGCCCGCCACCTCGCCCGGCTAGTGTTTTTTTGTATTTTTTAGTAGAGACGGGGTTTCACCGTGTTAGCCGGGATCGTCTCTCCATCTCCTGGCCTCGTGATCCGCCCGTCTCGGCCTCCCAAAGTGCTGGGATTACAGGCTTGAGCCACCGCGCCCGGCCAATTCATACCTTTTTAAACAAACATATATTCCAACCTTTTTTGCACCAATCATCCCAATCCAAGAATTAGGTATTCGATGCATGTTTTTTGAAAAAACCTAAATATGACAAGGAAAGGTAGAGATAAAAATAAAAGCTGGCCAGGAGCTGTGGCTCACACCTGCAATTTCAGCACTTTGAGAGGCCGAGGCGGGCGCATCTCTTGAGGTCAGGAGTTTGAGACCAGCCTGGCCAACAGGTGAAACTTCATCTCTACTAAAAATACAAAAATTAGCTGGGTACGATGGTATATGCCCATAATCCCAGCTACTCGGGAGGTTGAGGCATGAGAATCACTTGAACTTGGGAGGTGGTCCCAAGAAAATCACTTGAACCAGGGAGTGGGCCAAGATCACGCCACTGCACTTCAGCCTGGGAGGCAGAGTGAAACTGTGTCTCAAAACAAAACAAACAAACAAAAATGCCAATTCTTTTATTGAGCAATTCTTATGTATTGCACATCATGAGAAGGGACATGTAGGCACTATGAAAGAATGAAGACTGGTGAAATAGGACTCCTAAACTAGTTTCTGTTTTATAAGCCATTGTACAGAAAGCCCCTTTAGTAGTCAAAGAAACTTTATAATGACATGCAATTTCTCATGCAAAAATAAGGGAACGGAATTGTTTGAAAGGGGTAAAGTGGAGAGACAAAGGAAATCTGGTACATTTGTTAAAAAAGAATCAATCAAAAGACATATATAATTCTACTAAATGAATAAGAAAAATATTTGTTAAGAGAAAAAAACTATTTAAAAATCTCTTACCTGTTGCATATGTCTACTTGTTCGTTTCTGAGGCTGATAGATGAGCCATGTATATAAGATTGGGTCAATATTAACTGCTAGTCCTTGTATACTGCAAAGAAGTACAGCACCTAGAAGATAAGATTTTTAAATTGCTATATAATTCCTCATAAAAAACAATAAGCTATTTATTACTTTACACCGTGTAGGATAGCTGTGACATAATAGACTAACAGTAACAAGCGTTGGAAAGGATGTGGAGGAATGCAAACCCTGCTACACTGCTGGTAGGAATGTAAACTGGTACACCCACTTTGGAAAATACTATGGCATAACTGGGTCATATGGTAACTATATGTCTTTTTGAGGAAATGTGGACACCGAAAACTTATGTCCACACAAAAACGTGTATTCACATGCTCATATCAGCATAATTTATAACAGCCAAAAAGTGAAATCAATATAAATTTCCATGAGTTGATGAATAAACAAAATGTGGTATTTCCATACAATGGAAAAGTATTCATCCATAAAAAGAAATGAAGTACTGATACATGCTACAGCATTGATGAATCTCGAAACATTAAGTGAAATAAGCCTGACCAAGAAAACATATATTTTAGAATTCCACTTATACGAAATTGCCACAAGAGGCAAAAACATAGAGACAAAAAGTAGATTTGTGGTTACCAGGGCCTGTGAGAGGGGAGAGTAGAAATAACTGCTAAGAGGTATGTAGTTTGAGAGTGATAAAAATACTCTGAAATTAGAAAACAATTGTAGAACCTGGTGAATATACTATAAACCACTGAATCACACAATATAAAATAATTGTATGGAAAGTGAATTACATCTCATTAAAAGTGCATTTGTCCATAAAATATAATAATAAGCTCAACTTTTTAGGCAAAGAACAATTTTTATATCGGCCCTGAAAAATGGAATACGTTAGGTAAAATATTCCTAAATAACTTTTTCATTATATTAAAAAATTGATTCATGATTTGAAATAAATTATAATCATTCAATAAATCATTAAAAATTACAATTTTTAATGTTCAAAAGCAAAGAAAAAGAGCAGCCTAGATTAAATGCAGGCCAACATTCTGACATAAAACACAAAGCTGAAGTGTAACAGGTTGCAATTCCAACCTACTAACTAACCTATTTTTTGTCCCTTTCTGATGAAAAGTAGTTCAAATAGAACTTACCTAAAGCAGAATATACAATTCTCAATTTATGTGCAGGTTATATACATCTCTATATAAGTTTCTGTAATTGTACATATATTTTTAATACAAATATTATTAGCTCCACTAGGATATATGAAACATAAAGGAAGGGATATTTGTCAATTTTGTTATCAGCTATACCTGTAGCATATAGGAAATATGCCATCATACTGAATAGGGAAAAGCTGTTGCATTCCCCTTGAAAACTGGCACCAAACAAGATGCCCTCTCTCACCACTCCTATTAGACACAGTACTGGAAGTCCTGGCCAGAGCAATCAGGAAAGAGAAAGAAATAAAGCCCACCCAGATAGGAAGAGAGGAAGCCAAACTATCTTTGCAGACAACATGAAAATATATATCTAGAAAATCCCATAGTTTTGGCCTAAAAGCTCCTTAAGCTGATAAAGAACTTCAGTGAAGTCTTAGGATACAAATTCAACATACAAAAATCATTAGCATTTCTATACACTAACAACTGTCAAATTGGGAGCCAAATCAGGAATGCAATCCATTCACATTTGCCAAAAGAAGAATCAAATACTTAGGAAGACAGTTAACCAGGGAGGTGAAAGAGCCCTACAATGAGAACTACAAAACATGCTCAAAGAGATGACAGAAACAAATGGAAAAACATTCCATTCTCATGGATAGGAAGAATCAGTATCGTTAAAAGGGCCATTCTGTCCAAAGCAATTTACAAATTCAATGCTGTTCCTATCAAACTATCAATGACATTCTTCACAGAACTAGAAAAAACTATTTTAAAATTCATATAAAATGAAAAAAGAGCTTGAGTAGTCAAGGCCATCCTAAGCTAAAAGAACAAAGCTGGAGGCATCACATTACCCAACTTCAATCTATACTACAAGACTATAGTAACCAAAACAGCATGACAACTTTACAAAAACAGACACATAAACCAATGGAACAGAACAGACAGCCAAGAAATAAGACTACACACCTACAACTATCTTATCTTCAACAAACCTGACAAAAACAGGCAATGGGGAAAATGATTCCCTATGCAATAAATGGTGCTGGAATTGGCTACCCATAAGCAAATAATTGAAACTGGACCTCTTCCTTAGACCGTATACAAAAGTCAACCTAAGATAGATCAAAGACTTAAATAAAAACCAAAAACTATAAAAATCCTGGAAGACAATGTAGACAACCATTGTGGACACAGGAACAGGCAAACATTTCATGATGATGATGCCATGATGAGAATGGCATGGGAGAAAATGCCAAAATGGGAGAAAATTTTTGCAAACTCTGCTTCTGACCAAGGTCTAATATCCAACATCTATAAGGAACATAAACAAATCTACAAGAAAAAAAAGCAAGCCCATTAAAAAGTGGGCAAAGGACATGAACAGACACTTTTCAAAAGAAGACATACATATGGCCAACCAGCATATGAAAAAAAGCTCAAGATCATTGATCATTAGAGAAATGCAAATCAAAACCACAATGAGATACCATCTCACACCAGATAGAACAGCTGTTATTAAAAAGGCAAAAAATGACAGATGTTGGTGAGATTGTGGTGAAAAGGCAATACTTATACACTGTTGGTGGAAGTGTAAATTAGTTCAACCATTGTGGAAAATAGTGTGGCGATTCCTCAAAGAGCTAAAAACAGAACTACAATTCAACCCAGCCATCCCATTACAAGGTACATACCCAAAACAATATAAATCATTCTACCATAAGGACACATGCACACGTATGTTCACTGCAGCACTATTCACAATAGCAAAGACATGGAATCAACCTAAATGCCTATCAATGGCAAACTGGATAATGGAAGTGTGTTACATATATACCATGGAATACTATGCAGCCATAAAAAAGAACAAGATCATGTCCTTTGCAGGAACATGGATAAGGCTGGAGACCATTATCCTTAGCAAACTAATGCAGGAACAGAAAACAAAATACCACATGTTCTCACTGATTAGTGGCAGCTAAATGATGAGAACACATGGACACACAGAGGGGAAAAACAGACACTGGGGTCTATCAGAGGGTGGAGGGTGAAGGGCGGGAGAAAGGAGAGGATCAGAAAAAAATAACTATTGGTTTATTTTTTAGTACCCGGGTGGTGAGATAATCTGCACAACAAATCCCCATGACACAAGCTTACCTATATTATAAACATGCACTTGTATCCCTGAACCTAAAATAAAAGTCTATTTAAAAAAAAAAAAGAAAGAAAGAAAAAATGCCTGATGGTAGGGGGTTAAGAAAGTATATATCAGAATAAACCATAGCTGGTTCTCAGGATAACTGAAAATAGTACATTTGTTCTATTATGTTATAGATTATTTAAACCAGGAAAATTAGTATTAATAACAAGTCCTATGAAAACTGATATATAAAAAGACAGATAAAAGAATGAAGGAGAAAATGTAAGAGAAAAAGAAATTTATCCTTTTTTCAAAGCTTTCCACAGAATCTTCAAATAACCAAAATTTGCCATGTATACTCCTATTCTACCATGTAGTTCTATTTTTCCCATAGGCCCAGAACCAGTATAAATCCCTAGGCAACATGCTCAGACAACAAAAGCAATGTACCCTCCCAAGGACCAATATGTGTACTGTTGAGCAATGATTCACTCAAGCAGATGTCAGAAAAGAAAGATACAGAAAAGCTAAACACAAGATGACTGCCAAATGGGATTCATAATTAAAGTCAACTGAAAATCCAATTTAATATAGAATATTTATTTTAACATATATTTATTACTTTCATAGGTTGCAAATTTCTCATAAGGACCTAAATTCTTCTACTTCCCAAGTATCACTTATACCCAGAATAAAGCCATAAAAATACCATATTAAGATAAATAAATAGGACTTTCCCAATATGATATCCAGTTTTCAAACAATTCTAGCAGCTCTATTACAGCTATTACAGCAAAGACTGTCATCTCCACAGACTAACAAGAATAAAGTAGTACAATATATACAGTAAGATTTAATTTGCATTGTATTCTTATTTGATGACAACTCATTCTCCCAAAAAAGTTACTATGTAAGAAAGAGAATTCTCCCCCAATATGAAAAGTTGTTTACTAAGACCTTTTGATTTTAAAGCAATTAATGGAACAAGATCTAGAGAATTTAAAAGGTTTATTTAAATTCAGGAATATATAATTCAATCTCAAGGGTTAAAAGATCTTTCTAAAATCTATGTAAATAAAATTAAAATTAGATTTAAATTACTATGAATTTCCTTCTGTCCAATGAACCCCTTGTAATTTGTTCTATAATATCACATAAGTACCATATATAATACATATTATTTACTAACAATAAAGAAGACATTCACCAAAAGAAAAGTAAATTACATGAAGACAGAAGACTTTGGATCCAGAAGACAAAAGATCTAACTCCAGAGAAAAGTGATGGGAATTCCAAGGCTTACAACAGTGAATTAGTCACAGGTACATAGAAAGCTTAGTAACAACAAAACACAATTATTAAACACAAGGAAATCAAATGTTATAAAGGAAAGAATAGCTATTAAGATACAACACAACTGTGACGTGAATAGTGTTAATACATGGAATGATACAAATTCTGAAATAATAAATGAACAATTTAATCAATCAAATTTAGGATATAAGCAAATAAGAACATGTGATGAAGGCTGGAGAAAGTGAAAGATAGCCAATTATCATTTTCCACAGTAAGAAGTCAATAAATAATGCTCCAAAATCAATATTCAGGAAAAAAACAAGAAAAGCTATGTTATTTTAAAATATGGAAGTAAACACCAAAATGATTCCTGAAAATTTGTGAAACTAGTTACAGCTAGAAAAGGAAACATTAAAAAATGAGTTCTTGTCCACCCCCGCACCACACACACAAAAATGTAACTGAGATT